GTAGTGCATGGTCCGAGAAGGACACACAAATCAACGTAACACTGTAATATTACAGATCAACAACACAGATACGATTCTCATTTATTCATTTTATATATATAATTAAATCGATTTTTTGTTTGTTTTATCTGAGTGTTCCAGGGTATTCTCTGAATACCTTGAAGGCCCTGACGGTTCGCCACTGATATATATATATATATATATATATATATATATATATATATATATATATATATATACTTATAATAATAAGTGATATTAACTTTATTTAATACAACATTTACGGTACAAGATTGAATCATACAGCCCATGTAGTATGATAATAAATTATAGCAAACATGTGCAATATATCCATTATTACAGCTCCGTGGGATGGCAGTAAGACGATATGGGTCCGTTCTTATTGTGCATCCATGGGTAAAGATAAACGCAACTCAGATTGGTTTTTCAAACAGCATCTCTGTAAACTACGTGTATTCACTGCATTTCACTCTGCCTTTAACGGCTCGTTGTAGCTCCAATAGCTCCAGCCCCCACCCTTCCTGTGAGCACAGTGTGCTCTGATTGGTCGGGACACGTAACATGAACGTGCCGCGCGGCGCGGTCCCGTGGGTTGGATGCGCGTTCATAATGCAGAGGGAAATAACTCTCAGAATAACGTTATTAGCACATTATTACAACTTGAGGAACGAATGTTTTTAATAAGGGCTATACAAGTGTTCATACTGGGTAGTTTATTTAGTTTAAAAAAATTATCCAACGATTTACAGACCACTCTTTCTCCATGTAAGTCAATGGGAAAAAGTGTTTCCGGGCCTGGCAACCAAACGGAAGTGTAGTACCGCCGTTTGGCCAGCACGAATATTTTCATCTGAGTCCGGCGCACTTCCTGGGGGCTTGAGTGACACGTCCTAAAACCCAGAAGTAAGCTGCGCTCGGATTCCCTCGACAAAAGAGCAATGGGATTTCTCCATAGCATTTTGGATGATAGCTTGAAATAAGGTCTGTGGACAACGAACCTGTTAGATAAATGCACGTTTTGTTCAGCCGGATAATATCCACATGTCTACCCTACTTTTATTATTTTCTAATCATAAATCTAATCGATAGATTTATGATCGATAGATTTATGATTAGCATAACTTCCTTCATGATGGCTCACTTCACTGATAGTGATGACATCGTTGGCAAAATTATTAACCAAGTCATTTTAAAGATTGAGTTACAATGATAAACTGGAGTGGCAAAGGATCAGCTGAATGACCCGCCATCAAGTGCTTCATCCAAAAGGACAGGAGGATGGACTTTGTGTTTCAGTGATTTATCATCAAAGGTAGGCCTAAGTCATTTTCAATGTGGGCCGCTGTGCCGACTTAATTCATTTCTAATTGTTACTTGGCTGTGGGTTCCCTGTCATGATAGGTGTTTATATAAATGGTGTTGTTCTGTGTGGTAGAGGGTCGCTGTCATTGATGCGTTTTGCACCCAGGGCCGCTGTTTTGATATTCCGCTGAAGTATACGCTGTGACGTAGGTATAGGCCTAGGTATACAAGTCACGGCTCGCCACTGCCCGAGATTATAGTATTAAACAAATAAATAAAAACAAGGATAATTGTGTGTTATTGTTGAGTAAATAACAGTGTGTTATTTAGAAAAGAATAACAAATTAGAAGGAAAAAAAGATTTAAAAAATACAGATTTCAGTATTCTGAGGCTCTGCAGCCCCATTTATTTTCCTCACAGACGACAAAAAAGTCCGACATTATTTAAAATAAAAAACAATAATCGTGGCTTGATATTGAGTAAGAACATGTTTTTATGAACCACACAGCTTCCGGTCTTCTAAGACCCGACCGGACAAAAAGACGTGCTGCAGGCACGAAAAATCCTACCAAAATAGAAATATATTGCTTTTAAAATCGTTCTGTGTGACACGAAAAAAAGGGGGAAATCGTGTTGGTGAACACGAATCAATAGATTAAATGTCGTGACTATAACACGAAATGCCGTGAGACTGGGTTGATTGACAATGCGGTTTAGTTATAGGAAAATAACTTTTAGGAAACAAGGCTGCAAGCTGTGAGAAACTCAAATGGGACTGAGATTTTATTAGCTTTGGGGGTAAGTTTTCATTTCTTTCCATCCCCCTATTTGTCCTTTTCCTAGTTAACTTTACAGTTTCTCCCCCTTTCACTGCAAACAGAGAAAGCTCCTCGGTGCAGAGCATAGCATGCAGGAGCTGCTGTTTATAATCTGAATACGACTCCTGCTGTTATTGATTCTGTCCGCGAGATGAGCCCTCTGGGTTTTTCTGATGTTTATGCAGGAGAATGGTGATGCTTGCTAAGTGGAATAGAGACAATAAATCGATAGGCAATGTGAGGGGAGCGGAGAGCAAAGCATCTTTTAGCTCAGGACGAGTTTTCAAATTTGCGTTTGGTTTTCTTCTTGATACACTTTTGTGGCGGAGTGAGGGAGAAGCAGCCCTTTCCTCACTTTTCTCTCTACAGCTGAGATCTATCACTGCTGACCTGGAGGTCTTCATTAGCTGAAGATGTGGTATGGAAGAGGGCCTGGGGAGAATTGCAATGCAGTGTGGGTACATGCTCTACTCAACAGTAAACAATTTCTATTTGGATACTGGTGGGGAGTTTCAGTGTCAGATCCTTATCCTAACAGCTCCTACTAAGTTTGTGTGAAAAGAAGGCATATCTTAAGTTAAGAACACTTTTATAAAATCACTTCAACCTGATGATTATCACCCGTTCATGAGGAGGTGCATGTTTTGTGAGATGTTGGCAATAACCCAATCAACACCACTAGAATTGCCAAAATACTGCCTGTTATGCTCTGTTTGACTGAAAGTACAAATCAAGTTTTACCAAAAATACTCCAATGTTGAGCCTCGATTCCCACTGTTGAAAACAAATAAGTTTAGCAGTGTCATTAGTTGTCTTAGAGAAACAATGAAAAAAAGTTATCTAACTTTGTGTCAGCATGAAATAAAGATTGTGACAGAAATAAAGAGAGAATGGCTAAAGTTAGATGCTGAAAAAGATCTATAAGAAGTAAAATGGTCTATAACTTACATATAGGCAGTCACAGGGATGCTATAGTTGAAAAGATGGAGAACAGAATATTACAAAGGATACTACGTTACATTGCTTGTCTTGATACAGGATTAAAAGATTAGGGCCACATGTAAACTATTTTTGAGATCTGACCAAAAGTGATTTTTCTTTTGCTCTGAGATTAAAGGCGGAATTCTGATTAAAAAAAAAGTCAGGATTCAGAGATTTTCAGGATAAAGTGAGAATCATTTTCTTCTCAGAGTTCAGATTTTTTTCTCTGAATTCTGACATTCTCTCAGATGTCTGACATTAATGTGGAATTCTTAGTTATTGTCGAATTGTGACTCATACATTTAAAAATTCTGACTTTATTGTCAGAACACATTTTTTTTTTACATTGCTCTGATCTAAAAAAAATAAAATAAATCCTCTTCTTTACAAAGATGATCTTAACAGTATATTAATTGTTATTAAGACTTTTAGTTTCCTGATAACTTAAATCCCTGTTCTTAACCAGCAGATGGGAAACAGCGAGCTTCTGGCATTGGTCTGTCATTTGCACAAGTTAAACATTATTTAATATAAGCAAACCACATGATTGTAAAGCGTGAGGCTGGTGATTATTATAGTTATTTGTATCGATAACACCTCTAAAGCAGTCATTTTGTTTTAAGTAAAAGCACTATTTACTGCGTCTTTCCATGACTTTTTTCACATTAAAGTAATGTTTTGGTTGTAAATAAATAAAAGTGCATATGCTATGAAATAGCTTTTAGGGCGCTATGCCAATATGTTAAAGGGTAAGAGGGAATCCTTTTAGGCAGTCAGTGTATCTTAAATCTTGAATTATTTGCACAGGCACATAACACATCTTGTTTTCAACAGAATTACTGTGATACAAATGATTTAAACCATAACAAAGTAAAACATATCCAATACATTCCACATTCATTTTCCTGGTCCTTTGTATGGAGAGATTCAGATCATTTGTTCATGAGCACTGACATATGGCTGTACAACAAATCTACATACAACTACATTTATAAAGTCAAAGGTATGCAATACTGCATTCAGTACTCATTAAATATGCTATGCTGCTGCACAAATATAAACAATTCTAATATATTTGATTGTTTGCTGACACCCAGTCATATATTATTTCCCTGACAAAATTATAATTCCAAATGTTTCTAATAAAAAGATTCAAATGATTGCCCCACATTGAAACACTGTCTGCTGCACAGATGGATCCTCAGCCTTGTTGTCATAGAGAAAGCAGTTGGACGTGTGAACCCGGGTTGCAAGCAAAACAAGGATGCTTAATTTATCTGAAATTGATCCATGTTGTTTCAATGAAACTGCCTTTTTTTAAATCACATTATTGCAAAGATGTTTGCTTTTGACTTGCTGTTAATGTTACATGCAACATCATTTGAAATGTATCACTGATTAAGGTTTTGCCTGCACAACAACAGTGATGGTGGGCGTTACACTGCTGTGTGTCCGGAGAGCTTTAACCTCTCAGAGCAGCAGCCTTCAAAATGAATTTAGAAGCTTAAACCCGATGAATGGACGTTTCTTAACCTTTTAAGCCCCGAGCCTGTTTTCCAGGTCTCAGGTTCGAAAATGACATTCCCAGAACAAATGACCATAATTTATGCAAAACAAGTGAAATTTGACATTTTTAGAGAGATTTATCAAACCCACTTCTGGGGTAATTTGACCTATCTCTGGCCTCCCTTGGTCGATTTTGATGATTGACATATATTTTTAACCGTTAGAGCCAATAGAATCGAGGGGAAGTTCCACATACACACACACGTTACCAAATAAGGAGTGATGTGTAGCCAGAATACCCAAAACAGGAAGCTGTCATACACTGGTAGCTATCATTAGCAGCTAATATGAAAACTCAGTTTTTTACATCAATTTTTTCAAAGTGACAGACACATTGGATTAACCTATGGATTAACCTTCAGCTGCGTTTTTCTCGTCTTAATGCCATTGAACAGAACTTTTGATCAGAATAACAGCAACAGGTAAGAATTTCTCCCGTGTTTGCTACCCAATACTCCGTGTTGTAATATCTGCATTTGCTTCCCATGTCGCAAGTTCTGATCGCTCAGTGATGATACTTATATTTCTAGAATCTGTGGAATCTCAGTTTGCTAGCAAAGCTTGTTTGAGCAGATCCGATAAGTAATACAGTATTTATACCAAGAGTTCTGTGCTTTTTTCGCTCAGGGCTAATTTAAACGCTTCTTGTGAGACTTGTGTTTTGTTTCGGTAAAAATGGTTCGTTTTTGTCTGCTGATTCAACCAGGAGAGTTTTACATCCATCCAAGCCCAAATTAAATGTTGTTCCTTGAAAACATTTCTTCCATAAATCTCTATGTTCACAACAAAAAGGCTGGACTTGGGACTAGTTCATAGTCAAATCTGGCAGTGCAGGAAAACAATAAACACACAACTTGTATCCTCCAAAGACTTATAAAAGAGATGAAGAATTGGCACCACGTGAAACATAGAAAACACCTTAATAGGCACAGAGGAATCAAACATGTGATTAATTTAAAAATACATTTGCATTTCATTTCTTAGCCACAGTTGAGGCAGAGTCTTCAACAGCGATGTGGCAGTTCCTCCTCCTCTCAGTACACTGGCTTTCCTTTATCCAAGAGAAACATGTCCGCTTATAACCACAAAAGTTTTTGGATTTGTAGAAAATCCATAAAAACATGGACTCATACATTTTTGAAATGCCCCCGTGTCATCTCAGCGGATTTCACTGGCTCTCTCATTGCTACGAGGCTTTACAGGCGGAGGCAATTAGGGAAGCTGGAAATGGTGGCAGTGGCACTCCTACTCCTACCATCATCAAAATGTGTCGGGCCGGGTGTGCTGGCAGATCCCGGCGATTGCTTGGATAGATGGAGAAAGGGCAAGAGTGCTGCTGCCTCCTCTGGTTGCCATGGTGAGGAAGGAGGTGTGGAGAGACAGCCATTGTAAGTAAAGTAAAAGGAGAGTGAATTATCATTCAGCAGGTGGCACCGACGCTGGCAACACCACCAGGTAATGAATGGTATTGGCCTGCCTGCACACACAGGGAGGACAATAATCTCCCATCAGCCACCTTCCTCTGCCCAGCAGGTAAAAGACCTCACACTGATTGACTTGTGAGGTCAGTAGCCATGTGAAGCATGGATATATAACAACTTTGATCAAGGCTTGAATACCAGAGTTTTTAAGGGAGGAACACAGAGTGGAAATAAGCCCCCTTTATTCAATATCGATTTACATTTTATATAAAAATTACTTACATTTAATACATTTCTTCAAAATACAAGCAGCCAAACAACATACAAATCAAATACAAAATTATAAAATGTCTTATATTTATCATCTTTCTTTTTCCAAAGTAACAGATGTGTTTATATTAATAACCTTTTCCATAGCCGTGGTAAATCTCTTCCTTGTCTACATCTTTAATCCATCTGTTGATATACGAGACCTAGAAAAATATGGTATTCAGTATCTGTCTGTTCAGTGTACAGTACGGGATCTGGGCATCTGATCGGAGAACATTCAACGTGGGCTTCAATATCTTTCACCAAAAAAGATAAGTTCATGTAGTATATTAATGGAGAAACAGGGCAGATGAAGCGGGAAATCCAAGGAAATGGAAACGCTGTGAAATTACATATTGTGTGAGAAAGATCATGTCGATAGTATGGCGTTCGCTGGAAATCCAGTCAGTAGATCCTTCATTTTCCGAGAAAAAAAAAAAAGGACAAAACCTCAAAAATATGATGCATCACTGCTCAATTGTGAAGCTTTGTGGTCTGTATGTCCTATTATGTGTACAAAAAGAAAATAACCATAGAACCAACCCCTAACTCTTCTCTACAAAACTAACATTTGTTCAGAAAAATTGAGCCAACCTGCTTTGCTCACCTTCACAAAACTGTCTGTATTCCACCCTAAACTAGAAACAGGTATGGGTACAATTTTTAGCACTGCATTTTTAAGGTTTAAACTGTGCACAAGTGTGGCTTATGGGTGTTAATAAGGTTTTTGCAAATCAGCAGCTTTACTTCAGTGTCACATAGTATACAGTACAACGCTGTATAACTTATGTCGGACAAACATTAGAAAGCAAAAACAGTAAATGGAAAATAAATCTCTTCAGCACACCAACAAGGACATTATGCTGATGCTAAACCGGTAGAACCTAAGAGTCTCGTAGGAAATAGAAAAATTCTTCTTTCCACCTTCGTATTATATATTGTACACTGTGGTAAAAAAAGGAGTACAAAGTGTAAAGTTAGGCTATGCGGCGGTTTCATGAATTGTCCCCTCCAGTTTCTTTGGGAGTAGCTCTCTCCTCTCGTCAATACTGATGACTGGCTTCCGGCAGTTTTGCCCGTCGATATAGATCTTTGCATACACCGGGTTGGAGTAGTTCATTGGCTGTGAGGGAAGGAAAGAAGATGGAACAAATATATTTATTTATCTAAGTTACTTCAGAACAGTAGGAGTCTTAAAGCCGCATTAATACAATATGTTGTTTTTACACACACAATTATCTTACAGTGTTGTGGCAAATGTTAGTTAATGTTTGAATAAGAGCCAATCCACGAAACAGCATCATTATCCATCTGGAGTCGTGTTATGTACACCTGACACATTCAAGGTAAAGAGTCACTCTTCTTTTAGCTCTGTGTTCCACCACCTGATAAAAAGGCAAAATACTGGTATATGTTTGCTACTGTAGCTTTTTAAATGCAGGTGACGTAAAGATTGGTTGCCTGCTATGTCTGCAGACAAGGTTGGCGAGAGTGGTTTTCTAGTTAGTTAGCGAAAAACCAAAACAAATAGATAGAGATACCGCTAATGGGTTTGACGCTACACACAGCCATACTGTTGAGCATTAAACAAGGCCAATTGAGCCAAGAAAATAGTGATTAGTGCAGCTTTAAGTAAAGTCCACTGTGATTATCAAGGTGTAAAAAGTAGAGACAGCAGTACAGAAGAAAAAAATGAAAGAAACAAAGAGCACAAGACATAACTCATGCATACTGTGGATTATTACTCAGCAAGCAATACGGTAACAGACAGCAACATGTAGATGGAAGTACAAAAACCTAAATCCTCACATGGAAAATTGCTTTATTCTAAAGTATAGCACAGCCATAGCGTAAGTATATTTTTACACTTCTTTGACATTAGCAGTAAAGTGGCAAAGATGACTCGTCTATTTCCACTTTTACAACTGATGTATAGGACATCTAAAGATTTCGGTGAGAGTAACGGGGGGTTACGTAACCCTAGTTATATAAGCACAGGCGGAGCCCTCTACTGGACTCTATGGGTACTACTCGCAACCATGCTATGTGAGCATTCACACACTGAGTTTGTATAAACGTAGCCGGACAATCAGGGCGAGCCTACCTGAATGCGCGCGCAGGCACACAGTATATAAGGCGGCCACGCCTCCTGATCCTGTCATCCTACACCCTCTTCAGCGAGCAGCATAGGAAAGACAGGGCCCCTAGGTAGAGGGCTCCACCTGGGCTTAAATAACTAGGGTTATAATATGTAACCCCCCGTTATATCTCAGACAGGCTCCGCCCTCTACTGGACTCTATGGGTACAGTGGGTGGAGCCCTGATGGATAAACGACCTGTCGTCCAACAACATCGACCCATCACACTGCCCCTGACCGGCCTTTGGTTAACAGCCACCCAGAAGTTGCGCTAGACTTTTTCACTGCCCGTCATTTTGACAGACAGGATCGTAACATTTCCGTAAAAATTCAGTATTACCCGTCGGCCTTTACACTCTGGGGGGGGGGGAGAGAGAGAACTGTCAACCGGGGGGGGGGGGGGGGGGGGGGGGGTAGCACGGTCGTGGACTGTCAACGGGGGGCGGGGCTCACGCTTGTGAACTGTTAGCGCCGTGTTATGCATGCCCACTGCACCTCGCGGGTGTGCGCACAGCGTAAAGCCAAAACTCACAGACATTTCAATGATTTGTACGGCAAAGTTGGGTTTGGAAACGGTATAATTTCCTTTTTGGCAGGCATGTTTAACACCGGAGCCTCGCTGCGGGGAAACTTTAGCGCTGTTCCGAGTTTGTTCTAATCCATCAAAATGACAGACTGCTTTCAGATATTTTCGTCATTGTTAAAAAAAATCCGTCATAGACGGAAAATATTCGGTTAATGCGACCTCTGCAGCCACCGCACCCAAACTTCCTCTCATCCGGTTGAGACCGTGGAGAAGTCGGGGCCGCAGCTTACTTGGCTGGGAAGAGCACACTCACACTTAACTCGCGTAGAGTGTGCATGGAAAATAGTGAGGAAGGCTCTCCCCGCCCGCCCACAGGCAGACGGGGAGAGTCCTCCAGCCCTGTATGGGGCTTACTGCGTGTTTCCCGGGTCCCTAAGAAGCATGGGAAAACATAAATGCATTGTGTCTAGGGGGGGGGGTCAGATACCTACTGACCCACAAGGTTAGGTTCTTGGGAACAAAGGAGGGGTTCGGTCTGAGTGTCTCCCCGCTACAGTCACCCCGAATCAAAAGGCAACTCGGGTGTACCGACAGAGCGGTCAGCTCGCACACTCTCTTGGCCGAAGTCAAGGCAAACAGCAAAGCTGTTTTCAATGATAGTGCCTTCAGGGAGGGGAGCTCCAGAGGCTCAAATGGTTCTGTGACCAGAGCCTCGAGCACCAACGGCAGATCCTATTGCGGGGTTGAGACATGCACCACTGGGCGCTGTCTCCTGACCCCCTGCAAACGCGCCATAAGCGGTTGACTAAAGGCTGACCTGCCCCCCAATCCTTCATGGCAGGACGAGATGGCTGCTGCATACACCTTAATTGTGGAATAAGCAAGCCCCCTGTCCACCAGTATCTGTAAATAGGACAGAATAGAGCCCAACGTACATGATAGAGGCTCTAGACTCCTTTCTTCACACCACCGCTGGAATCCCAACCACCTCGTCCTGTAACAGGCTGTGGTGGATCCTGCTCTTGCTGCCTGGATAGTCCGAATAACTTTGTCAGGCAGTCCCTGCCGTCTCAGCCTGAGAGAGGTTGGCCCAGAGTGGGTAACACCCCTATTGCACCTGCTTCCTGAGGCAACGCCCCCCAGACCTGAGGAACCGTCCAGGACTGGCCCACCATCATCTGTGTCACCTCTGTGTACCACGGCGCCGAGCGGCGACCTGGGGCTAACAGGATGACTGACAATCATTCTTGTCTCACCCTCCCCGGGAGGGGGAGAATGAGACGCAGCGGTGGAAAGGCGTAGGGCAGTTTTCTTGGCCACCCCCCCCAGGGTGGATTGTCCTGCCGAGCCAGGGAAAACCACAGGGTACAGTGGCTGTTGCACTGTCCGAACTGCCCAGATCTACTTCAGCACCTCCGGGCAACTGTCACAGATGCCGTGATGTAGGAGGTCACCCGCCCCAGTGGAGTTCCCCTCCGCAGATGCTTTGGGGACCCCCAGTATCGGAGGTTGCTCTCAACTGAGGGGGGGGGAATGGTCACAGGACATCGTTTGTGCCTCTTGGGATCTAAGTGAAGGCCGGCAAACCACCTCTGCAGGCGACGCATATGCAGTAACCCCAGCGGTACCACAAGGTGAGCAGCCGCCATGAGACCCAGAGTCTGCATGATGGTCAAAGCTGTCACCGTTGCCCCCTGTCGTAGTCTGCAAACTGCCTGAAGCAGGGATGCCTGTCTGCTCTCTGACAGGGTGGCACGTAGTCTGCCTGCATCGAGCGAAATCCCCAGATACTCCACCTGCTGGTGAGGTATGGGACTGCTCTTCTTCCAATTGACCGCAATCCACTTGGATCAATTGGGCTGTGTTTGCCTCTTCCCTGGACCTGGCCATGACTATGAGGTTGCATTAGAAAACCCTCATACCATGGTCGCGAAGCGGCTGAAGCGCTGTGGTCACACATTTGCTGAACGTGCGTGGGGATAGGGAGTAGCCAAATGGTAGTCTGTACTCGTAGGCTACCCCTTGGAAGGCATAACGCAAATACTTTCTGTGCTTTGGAGCAATTTTCGACATGAAAGTAAGCGTCCTTCAGGATGATGGTTGTGAACCAATCGCCCGGCTGCCGTAGTTCCAGTCATTGGTTTACATATGGAATTTTTCGCAGGCAATGTGCTGATTCAGGCAGCGAAGATCCAGAATGGGTCTGAATTCTCCTGTCTTCTTGGGAACCAGGAAGTACATGGAGTAAAGCCCCTTTTCTCTGTCCTGAGAATGCCCAACAGACACAGCCTGTTTTTGCAACAGGGCCTGAATCTTTGTTGAAAGGAAACCTATCTCCTCCTGGGATGATATATTTGCCTGAATGGAGGAGGGACGCTGCAAAACTGGAGTGAGTAACCCAGTCTCAGTGTCCTGTCCATCCATTCTGTCAGTACACAGCCGAGCTTCCATTCCCCATAAAACTGTGTTAGGGGACATGCAAGCAGCTGTGGAGTCGCAGCTAAGAAACTGTAGCACTCTCTGGTGGCCCACTCTGCCGCCAAACGTTCCATAAAAGGAAGATTGGCCCATGGGGGGCTGACATAGAAAGAGCCGATTTTCTACTGAGGTCCTTGAACGCACACTCTCGTGGGGCCGCGGCTCCGTCATAATGCCGTCTCTTTGAAACGGACATTATGGGGAAATGTGGAATTGTGGAGAGAGATGACTCTTACTCTGAGATGAATGCAATCATTTTTACTGCGCCACTCTCACGAGCCGCGTGCCTTCGTATTAACGCTGTGTTTCACATTCAACGGTGAAATGCATTAATCGGAGCTATTATACCAGGCAAGGTGTGTTTTCTGACAACAGCACGCCGGCAATAGCGTCTTTTGAACTCACACAGTGCTTTGACAGCACTTTCTGCGGTTTATTCCACTCACGTGCGCGTGAGCAGGCAGAGGTTCTCTGCCCAGCCTGGTGCCTGCTGGGAGCAGATGGGCTGCCACGCTCCGCCGCCGGTGGACTTCCATGGACGCCGGACCCGGAAGTGCCCGACAACGAGAAGTCCTCGTCATCTTCCTCCCCGGCAGCCATCCGCCCCGCTGGAATGGCGAACGTGGCCATATCCTGGTCCCCCAAACACTCGAAGCAGAGGTGGTGGGGATCGGCGCCCGCTATTAAGCCAGGGCACGAAGGACGGGCCCGGGTCTCTAGAAGTGGCGACTCCATGAAGGTATGATAACTTATTTCTTCTTCTTTCACACGTTTTACTTTATCTGAGGTGTTGTCCTGCTCGCTGAAGAGAAAAGGATGACAGGATCAGGAGGCGTGGCTGCCTTATATGCTATGTGCCTGCGCGCGCATTCAGGTAGGCTTGCATTGATTGGCCGGCTACGTTTATACAAACTCAGTGTGTGAATGCTCGCAAAGCATGGTTGAGAGTAGTACCCATAGAGTCCAGTAGAGGGCAGAGCCTGTGTGAGATATAACCTTGACTCGCTTCAGATTAAGATATATTCTTATCACACAGATCACTATATAAAGTTGTTTAAAATATTCGCCAGGTGACTGACTGCACATGAGGGTGCTTACATGAGGGTGATTTTGTATTCTGGAGGGCAAACAAAAAGTAAAGTTTGGAAAATTCACCTGTCCAGGGATTACCTCCTTGGGCACAGAATGTATGCCCAAAGTGTGAGGTTCACTGGATTTTACACACCAGCCCTGCAACACAACAGGCACCAACTCTGTTTAAAGTTAAATTCACACACACAGCTAACACCAAACACATAATAATGCTATTCACAATAAAAATGCTCTGAGGTAAAGACGTGAGGAATTGTCGGGGACTCAGTGACTGAAGTAGAAATCAGAAGCTAGTTGAAATTCAAGCCAGGGTGCCTCTGTTGAAAAAAAAAAGAAACAGCCAGATTGGACTGACAATAGCAGATGTCAGAGTTGGCAGGGCAAGAAGCAGTAGCAATAAGCTTGAAGCTCTAGCAGGTGAGCTAGATAACAACATCAGTGACAGTGTTATGATTCATTTGATATGCTGCGTGTTAGTGCGAGGTTGAGGATCATGTTCAGAATAAATCACAAGCCGGATGAAAAGTAATCTTGGTTCGTGGCACTTGGAGATATATGCACTCTACTGTAGATAGCCTTTACAAAATCTCTACAAAATCTAATGGTATAATTCTAGTGGTTCATACCAACACCAGATATCACATTACCACAGTAATTGGAGGAATTACCCTAACATGTTTTTTCTGGTTACTCAACACTTGTTTTTATACACATGACTATTCTTGGATGGAGATGTACTATGTAAGTTTAGTATGGTGTGATCGGCAGTGTCAGTATTGTCATGATTGCAGCATATATGATAGTTAGCAGGTGTAATAAGGATTGGCATCATTTAAGGCCGGTTCAATCAGCTCCTCCTATTCCTTTACAAGCACTGCACTGTTTATCAAGGATGTGTAATGGAACGTGACTGCATATGGCTACTCAAACATAAGTTCCTAGAAAATGTTATATAGCGATTCCAATGCATATGTTGCTAAATTAAATTATACATTTTAATTGAGCATACTGACAGATTCACCATAGCTATATATATATATATATATATATATATGATTAATGTGTTTATGCTGACTTTTATTCCAAGACACATTCCATTTTCCTTAGTACATTGGAATTGTTGAAAAAAGGCAACATGTTCCTTTTTCCGGCAGTGAAAACCATTTATACTGATTACAGTCATTCAGCAAATAATGTAATCACTATCAAGTGTTTTTTAATGCATCAACAATCTGGAGACAGAATCATCTCTTTAGAAATGCTGTTCAATAATTTGCCTAAAGTGATCACGTAGTCCACTTAAGTTGTTCATTGCTGGCTCTTTCATACATGAACAATCATTGAAAAAAAAATGCTATAACTTCTATTATATTTTCATGATTTGATGCAATGACAGAGTACTTTATTTCCCTGATTTGTATTTGAACTACAGTAGTCTATAGTTGATATATTTTATATGCTATTACTGTTCTGTATTCTAGTGATAATTTTAAACAACACATAGATTGGAATTTTAAGTCATTTTAATTTACAGTTATATGTGAAGATGTGCATGTTTGTAATATATATATATAGTATATGTTATATAGATGTATCTTATGTCACATAATGTAACATAATGCAGTCAATACACTCAATCATGAATAATTATTATTTATTGATCAAATCAAGATTGATTCGAATAACGTTTAAAATAAATACTAAGTACATCAGTGATGAAAATGAGCCCACAGTAATTTATGAAATAAAACAAAAAGATAACATACAGGTTTCTTGTAATAATGAAAACAGAATAAAAATATGGCAACAAATGAATCTTGTTGTAAAATTAGAAATCAAGCACTTTTAGTGGCAGCAATACACTGCCATAATGTTGCAGTGCTTCTCAGGGATATATAGCTTGTTGTTTGCATTGCGGTTAGGTTAATATTAAGCACATATACCAACCTTGTGAGGGTCCAGCGTGAAGTTGGGTCTCAGCAGGCTGCCTGCATCAGCATGGTTGTCGTGGTCCACTTCATACATGTTGTATGACGGGTTCCCAATCTCCACATTTATTCCTCCGTTTGTCATGGGCTGCCTCTGGACTCGTTTTCCCCTGTGGTGCGCGGAGCCGGGAATCATTAACATGATACTCAACATGCAGGTCAACATGCTGTGCTGCTCCACACAACAAATCACATCTCACTACTAGGCACACTTGGGTGTACATAACTTTGCTTGGCAGAACTAAAAGCTGAATTATAATCAGAGGCTTAGCTCTGAGGGCAGGTGTTGTGCTGAACATGTTCAAATAAACAACACACTTTTTATATATAAAGCACAGACTTCCATTTATCTTTAAAGCTGTGTAGTTTTGGATCTCTTATCATCTGTTGCTGCTTAGAAGCCTCTTTCTTATTGATATATTTAATGACTTACCTTTGCTTCCTTCTGCAGATGTAAACACCTGCTACCACCATCACAATCAAGATCACCAGCAGGACCAGAGGCACAATGATAGCTATGCTTCCTGAGAGACACACAGAGGAGAGATGGTGAGATGAGACAAGATTGAAAGGATTCCAGATGGGCTCTGATAGTGACACACTGTATGCAACCATGCCTGACTGTGGCTTCAAAAAGGCCACTTTTTTCTTTCCTCTCTAATGCTTGGTTGACTGAACACTTCACTCTATTTACAGAACAGATGTCCATTACAAACTGGTTGTGCAGTAATAGTAAAGTAAATGTGCAGATTCTAAAAAGATTGTTCATTTTGATTGCAGATATTAGTTAGAAATGACTTTTCATCACCGAGGTATGTTATGTTTTGTTTGAAAGTAGGCTAGTTAAAGAAAAAACGTCCGCTGCTGCCGAGTTGAATCACGCACTGTTTTAATTCTGTTTCACAGAGAGAAACCCGGGAAGATGCAGGCTACCTTGGCCGGTTCAGGCCACTAAAGATATATTTTTGCTATAATCATTTATGAGGCCTTTGCAGGCCTTTGAGAAAGTCAAGCATCCATACTCCATACTGTCATTACAGCAATGGCATCTCGTTGCGTGCTTGTGGCATCGATGGGAGGGGCTGGTGCTGAATTGTGTATTCAGCACTATCTGTGCATAAAGGGCATTATTCGTACTCAACATTATAACCGGAGATATTTAAATGTATTAGGACTTCAACAGTTTTTCCAGGTAAAATGTATATAAATACGGGCTAGCGGGAAAAACTGAACATTGTATGTAGAGCCTTTCTTTAGGAGATATCAATGTACTACTTAATATTATTTGCAGATTATTTAAGACTGAAAATATCAGGCAGCAGTTCCTTTAACTCAAAATAAGTATACCTGCTGAGTATGGGCTATTCTATTAAAATAGTGCAAACTTGCTAGGTTGGATGGAGTTCAGACATTATTTTGTTAAGGTGCTAACCAGGGCTGAGTCCTATGTGTGTTGATGTTTAATAATGTGATCATTTCAGATGTATAAGTGACGTTGCTACTGTAATGCAATTGGGATTTAAAAATGTAGGAAATTGTAAAAATGTGATATTCCCAGTACTCACCTCCTCTGGTATTGTCCGATCTGCTGCTTTTAGGGGCTGGTCTCTCACACTGTGTTCCCGCCCAATTGACTGAACACCTGAAGAAGGTCGAAACAAAGTTAAAATAAACTACCGTTAGAAATCCTGGCAGTAAAACTGCTGAAAACACCTTCACATGAAGAACTACATTATGATGTGACCGTGGTTTACATATACAACACATTATGATTCAGTCTTGCTATGGAGTGCTTTGATCCAAACACAAACAAAACACCACCTGGAGAGAGATCACTAAGTATATACATGTTGTGTCCACAAACAGTGTGTTGAGATATACATGTTGAATATTCAGTGTGTAGAAATATCAAAGGATCACAGCGGGACAACAAGTCGTCATCTCATTTGTGTTCCAATGGGATCTGATGTGGGTGATATATATGACCCTTGTTAGAAGAGGTGATATCTAAATTCACACGACTGACGCAGATGGGTCTGTAAAGCATGAGCGTTCTTGTGGGTGCGACTGGATGATGACAGAATGAAATTACTCTAAATTACATGCACTCTAAGAATCAGAACATCGGGCTATCAAAAATAAGAATGCAGCGCCATACATACGGGAAATGAATCACGCCCTCATTGAACAAAATGTCACAGCGACATGAATTTTAATGAGAGTGGAAGCGACGGGGAGTTTGATCTCCTCTGGGAGGCGTACACGATGAAAGGACTAATTCCATAACAAATGAAGAAATTATTTTAAACTGTGTGGAAGGCATAGAAGGTAGACATATATTACTGATGAGATGTTCAGCCTAGGAAGCTGTACGTGATGACTGGTCAGTAAAGAACATATTCAGCTTGCCGTCATGCAAAGGTTGAAAATGCACACACTGAAACCCACATCACACAGTGTCACGTTAAAGTCCCCCCCCCCACCACAACCCTGATTCCTGTGTGCATGAGATGGGTGGCAGTGAGGGGCATCAAAAGTACATCATACAGCAACTGATAATGTAATAAGAGCAACATCGAAGGTTGTTAGCTTAGCATCAACAAATATGTGCTAATGTGTGCCTAGTCATTGCTTCCAATATACATTATAAGTCAATTGATATAAAAATAACATTTTGGCATACAGGGGAATATGTTTTATTTTATTTTGCTGATTGTTTGATAAGATAATTGATTAAAAAATAAATAAAACTGTGCAATAGATTTAAACTAAAGTCAGCATCTGATTAGCTTAGCACAAAGAGTGAAACATGGAAACAGCTAGCTTGGCGCTAGTGTCCAAAGGTTATAAATATGCCGTCTAACACCTTTTAAAGATCACTTACATATTGTTAAGACCTTAAATAACGAAAAGGAACAATGCTAATGTGAAACAAATAATATTACAAATATACCAATTAAAGTCATATTAAGGTTAAAAGTATTTTAACTTGTAGTCAGTATTACTACAACATACACGGAGGATGTGAGAACACATTTTCTTTCCAGTTTAAATGCAAAGCTGTGAGTGTTGCTGCTAAAAGGGCGAGTCAAAGCTCAAAGAGCAGCGCAGTGTTTGACAGCAACTTCACAAGCTTTCTAATTACGGCTAGTTAGCTAACCTGTCATTACTGGAGCCCCGGCAGGCCATGGAAGTGTGACAAAACACATTTCAATCAAAATAGGAAGTCACAGTCCTAATTTACCAAGGACACACTCCAGTCACAATTAAATGTCTGGGAATAAAGACACAGAGCTGTCCAATACAAATGTAATGCTTTCACAATCAAGTTAAATAACCATATCATAACACTTTCTTTCAGATGACTATGTTTAACCTATTGTGGGTTGCTCTTTTATTACACTTATTACATGATAGGTTGCTACAAGGCAGTACTCAGACAAAGAGCCCATACAGTAAAGTGGACTGAGGCTGAAATGGAGCCAGATGGAGTTAGGGTGGTGGTGTGGACAAAAAGGTGTGAGTTGGCTCTGAATACAGCTGGAGAGGTGAGAAGGACCTACTTGCAGCGTGGTTTGTTAAGAGCTGTTAATGTGCACATCCCCTCATTCTGACAGAAGTAATCGCAGGGGTTGGCCAGCTCATCACAACGTTGGTTCTTGAACCCTGACGTGCAGCTGCAAAACATTGTGTATGGAGTGATAAAAGGGCCCAGAGAATATATACTGTTGCACTTTTTGCTGCATGATGAATGGAGATTGACAAACTAATCCCTTAAAGAAGCTTCACTCATAAAACAAAGTAAGTCAATGTTGTGTCTGCATCAAGCAAATTAGCAAAGAAAATAAAAACATGAACACACATTAATTTCACTGTGCCTGCAAAAGAACAGTCTGTTACAGTGGTCACACCTCTGGGATATGTGTATTCTTAAGTAATACATTACATTAATTATTTAAAAAAATAACAGAAACAAATAAAATGAAATTGTTACTTGCAGCTTAGGATGGCAACTACAAATTATATACATTCAGAATATGTAAGATGTTTTACAAAAAACACTCATATTATATATACTCAATATACCACATTGTGAATATCTCATACTAACACAAATACAGAACACAAAACACAATCATACAGTAATGTTGACAGTTTCACTATTTCAAAGTGAAGGATTGTGAAAAAAAAGTATACATTTTGGACTTAAATGTTTGAATTTTTTACACCTGAAAGTCTGACCCAAGGCATCTTTTTGTTACATTCATTTACCTATCATTTTTTGTGACACTGAAATGATGCTTTATACTGAAGAACAGTATATCACACATGATATCCTGTCATCACATCTGTGCACCTGTCCTTTTGAGCCATGTGTATTTGACATCCCTCTCCATCTCTGCCTCTCTACCATACACTTGCTGGTGATTGGCCTGTTAGCTATGCCACTGTTAGAGCATGACTAGAGTTTGCCAGAACCTTCTGTAATTGATCAGAAAGTCTGAGCCATCCCAAACATACTTGCATGGTTCGATTTGATCCAAACCTAAATAACTTGTTTTTGTGGGACTGATGTTTGGATGTTTGATCTGGACTGTGGTCTGCAGGAGGTTTTCACACCTGTACATTTGGATATATCAGAAAAGTCTGATAGTCCCCAGGGTACTTTCAGTGTTGACTGTTGTGCAGTTTGTTTGTAAAGTCTCAAAGGTTAAACTGCTAATAAATTCAACTGCTGACCGTGGAATCTGCAGGCAATCCTATAATGAATCTGTCAAAGCATATAAGATCTTTTGCGAATCATTTAGCAACCATGATAACAAAAGTGCAAGTATTTCCCCTGATGAATAGGTAATGACTCCATGTACCTTTACTGTTCATTAAGTCAAATGTAAAGTTTGTGACAGCTATTCCACAGTAATAAGCTCTGAATCATTACTGCACAACTGACACCTCTTTTTCTACCTCTTAGTCATTATTCACAACGGCTGATTAACAGTCTAATACTATTTTAAATCATTTTTTGTAACTCATAATCAGTCTCTGATGGTAAAGGATGACCATCACTTTTATATCTAATGATTTACGTGTCATTGGTTCATGTTTGTTTATTATCTTCAATTATTTATAAAAAAGTCAGTGTGACCAGAAACCAGACTAGACGTCAAATGCAACAGTGTATTCCCCTTGGTCCAAATCAAATTAACAGGTGTAAAAGCCCCAATAAAAACAGGAACTCATTGGACAAATAATCCGTACAGTGAGAGGCATAGCAACATAGGGATATCTCGGCCTAAACTCTAACAATAAAACCAAATTATTTCATTCAGTTTGAGAAGAATATGGGACATGTTTAAATTGGATCCTGTTTGCCACAAAGACATCTTTAAATGTAGATCATAGTCCCCTGGAAAAGAGTGCTATTCAGGGGTTTATATACAAATGCAAAGCGACGGATACACATTGTGCCTCCTCAAGAGCATCTTTTTATCTGATAAAAACTGCTAAAGCTATCTTCTCAGCTACAGCATCAGCTATGTGTTAGACTGCAGTTTAAATGACTGTTGTGGTTTACTACTGTCTTAGGTAGGTTTATTGATCTCACTGGAAAACACAATTGCTGAATAAGTCAGATTTTCTGCATTGTAAGACAAAAAAAGGGCTGTTGTATAGTTAAAAGGCTTCACAGGAAGAATATTTAAATATCTCTCAGTGAATAATGATGAGGGCTGACATGTTTACCAGTTGTATTGACTCTGCATTTTATCTCTTTAACCTGTGTCAGTGTTTAATGCAAGAATTATCTTTGCAATTGAAGCAGTTCTGCCATATACCCTCATTTCTGGAAGGTTTGATAAAGTATGCATTTACTCCGAGTATTAAGGGCAAACATTATGATTTCTTGACACAGACATATCCATCATCTCACATAATCTCTGGTCTTTGCAGCAAATAATAAACCACATTATCAAGATCTGTTAACCTCATCGAATAGGATGGGATCATTTGCATAGAAATTGATTCCATCTCTGGGAATATGTGAACGATGACCGAGAATTTAAACTACAGTGGACAATGGGCAGTTAAAAAAAATAGAGAGTTCGTCTTTTTGAAATGGATTTCCAATTTCCTCCTTGAAGAGATTTTTTTAAATAGCACTGCATATGATTATGGTTGAGGTGGTATTAATCTATGGGGCAGCGCTTTGAGTAGTCTTTCTCAATAATTCCCTCGGGTCTGCTTGCCAAGCTTTTGTCTGTTGCAGGTTTGTGCCGTTGGATGTTATGGCATGTTATGCCACTGACATATACCTCAACCTTCTTTTTTCTTACAGACCTACTACTGGAGAGAGTCGGAGAGGCCTGACATCAGCTTTTAACTGCAAGGAGGAACAGCACGATATGTTCAGAATGGCAAGCTTTGAAGGGGCTTTGAAACCATTTTTATCTGCCTAAAAACCTTAAGCTCCAGTGAGGTGTCACATCGTAAGATGGCGTACTAGCACTCAGCCCCCTGCTGGGCCATGGGCTCCATGCAGTGACATCAAACCTTCCCTCAACTTAAGGATTTCTTTCCAGAGGAAGACATCTATCTTGTTCTCTGAGCAGGGACATCGTACCCCTTGGTGATTTTCAGTGTTGCATCTAAAGCCATGATTTCTGGTGCGCAGAACCAGCAATTGAATGGAAACAGTGAGTGTGAATAATAGTGGAGAAAATTCTATTTTTTTTCTTTTTCCCCCACTTTCCTTCACCCATTAAGCAGTGACTTACTGACAGAAAGGCAAGTTGGTGTCGGGGTCCAGGTGACAGGTGCCTCCATTGTAGCAATATCCGTCACACAGCTGACAGCTCGGTGCTATTCTGCCATTTGTGCAACTGGAGGGTGAAGAAATAATGGAATGCTAGTGACAAGCAGAAAACCACACTTTTACAGAAAAGATAAATGAGTCAGTGTCTGACATATGCATATTTATATAAACCGGGGGAGTTCGAATTCATTGACATACCAGACACTAAATTGCTGTAGGGTTAGTTAACTTATACATATTTCAGATTTAATCAAATCAATTCATTCAGACTTCAGCCTGCGGATACAGCTACTGGAACCTGGGGATACTCTGCAGAGCTGATGCTTCTCTAGAAAGGAAGAGGACTGTGAAGCAGTATAGGAAAATGAAGGTACCAAGTACTCACTTGCAAACCACATCCCCTGTATCCTCATTAATGAGGCAGGGAGCTCCATGGCAACGGAGACACTTGTCCACCTCGCATTTGTTACCCTCAAACCTGGCGGGACACACACACTCTACGTATCCGCTGCTGGATAGCGTGCAGGCCTTGGAGTTCACACAGTAGTGATGACAGATGTCTGTTACACAGTCATAGAGATAAAGAGAAAGAGAGAAGATAGTGCGTAATGAGAAACTGGGACATAGTTTAAGCTTGCTTGATTGGAATTGTACAGGACTTTTAATGGGATTCAATTATCTACATCAAATGACATCTTGCCTCAGATGAAAGCATATCACCCCTTGGGCACGTAATGGTAGGAAAATACTAATGACGAGCAGTCTAAATTGTTTTCCACGCGACCCATTGACACAAAGCAAATGAAAATACATTATCACTTCAGCACAGAAACACCCAAGCGATTTTTTGATTGTAGTATTTAGATTTTTGTTTATCTGCAAATATAGGAAAATGCAGTGAAAATACTTCAGGGGGTTGTTTTTGTTCACAGTCTATGTCTTTGAAATGCTTATTTCTGTAGATGTTATGCAGCATAACTCAAGTCAAAGAAAGCTTTGTGGTGAGTGGTCTTGCGGCTACACTTGAAACGCTAGTGGAAATCATATGTGCATAACCATTACAACTTCTTGTGTTTGCAATGGGCAGGACTTACGGTAAAGACAACGGTCCCCAGTATATTCTGACATGCAGCGGCACACAGGCTGGTTTCCCTGAGTGACGTCGCATGTTCCCCCATTTAAGCAGTAGTTGTCACAAATTCTCCGCTCACAGAAAGGCCCAGAGAAACCAACAGGGCAGCGGCATGTAGGCTTACCTGGGAAAAAAACAGAAAAGGAGCGATTAAGAGAGCATGAAAAGTCCCAAAAAACAACAGCTCATTGATCCTACTCACAAGTATTTTTTTGTCCGGATATATAGCTTATTCCTCTGTGCCATAGACCACTATTGTCGTCTGAAAACTATTAAATACTTTCAACACATCAATGCACATCGTTGCGCCGGATGACATTTCCCATTATGTGTCGGTCTCACAAACACTGTCTTGCCTCTGTGAGTACTCTCAAGCCCTTACTGATGAAAACAGTCCCCAGCAAATGGACTTCCTGTTTGCTACATGGCCCTCAACTACATAACTGCGACTGAGTACACCTCTACCAAGTACTAATAGCACAAGCTTCAATCTGTCAAGCATAGTTCCACAGTCACCAAGACAGGTGCTAATCAGTACAAAAGTAAAAGGTAAAGATCCATCCTTCCATCCATCATTTTTAGACAAATATTCATGTATGGGTCAAGGTGACCGCAGATTGGCACCTATGGATAGAAGCTAAGGTGCCCTTTTTTGTAGTGTACGCCCTCCAAGTCAATCTAGAGCAGGGATGGGCAACTTTGATGGTGGTGGGGGCCACATAATTGATGTACTGGCCACCAGGGGGCCGCAGATTCACTTGGAACACACGCACACAAAAATTACATGTGTTGTATTTAATTATTAACAAATATACTAAGTCTGACATCTTCATTGACATTTTACAATCAAAGGGAACATCCCCAAAAAATGGGAACATCCTCTAATAAACTCACTAAACAAATATCAGTTCACAGAAATGTTATTTCATTTTTACAAGTGGCATGTTTGTATTGAACAGGTTATTAAACAGTGGAATACAACTATTTTAAACTATTGGAAAGCACGGAAAATGTGTGTGCATTGAGATGAACCATTAAGATGACATAAACATGAAGTCATGAACACTAACCCAGACATTAGTTGTCTAACTTGAACCTAAGACACTTGTAGCCTGTCTGCATTCCCCTTATTCCAGAATAAGGGGAATGTCAACACAGACGCCTGTCAACCTGCACTCTGCTGTTCCTCAGCGCCGCTCCCCCTCCCTCCCGCTGAAATGATGAATGAAAGCGTTTGTGTATATTTCAAATATCTGAAGGACAGCTAAATGCTGTGAGACAAAATAATTCTAAATGTAAATGAATGTTGTTTTTTTGTATTAGTTATTATAGCCCCTTTGGCAGAAACAATGAAGTTATGGTTATGTGTGGACCGATCTTTAAAGGACTCTTGTCTGGTGAACTTTATATACTTCTCTCCATTAATGTCATACAAGTCAGAACAGTTGTGTGTCTATGTTTTAAGTATGTGTTTTGTTGCAAAAAGTCCTATTAGAGTTTAGGGAAACCTGTTTAAGTGACAGTAAAGCTGGGATTCAACGACACCTTGTGTTTTTAAAGATAACACTGGAAATTCTAGCCTCTAATTGATTGTGGAGCTGACTCCAGTCCCCTTATTTTATCGCTGAAGCAGTGACTTTAGGAAACCTATTTGATATATATTCACTCCTTCGCTCAACTTTGGTTGGTCATTTATATGTTAATGCCTCAAAGACAAACAAGACCTTTATGAGAACAAATAAAATTGCCAAGCAAGAATAAAACGAAAGGCCCCAGCAGCACAACACATATAACAACACTTTCCTTTTCCCCTCAGCTGTCGGCCATAATAGGAATACAATTTATGATCTAGTGTAGTATGATGGACTTCAACCACAGCGCTTGCAAATAAAAAATAATACAACACTGATTGTCACCAATAGAAGCCCTGCCTTCGTCGTGAGGCCCTCCTGCAGTGATCTCACAGCAACATGATTCCTAGCTATCATGACAGACAGACTACATTTTTATTCCATGCAGCAGTGATTATCCTGGTGTCTGTTTATGTCACGTAGAGCCGATTTAGGGTTTCAAAGACCATTTTAAAACAAGGTGAAAACACAGATTATAAAATATCAGTTGACTTGGGTGTATGTTTTTTCCAAAGGCCAAAAGAAAAACAAATATATTTGATTCTAAGCTTTAGAAAAGCCAGAAGGGAGTGGAAAATGTCTTCTTTGAAAGTATACATGTTTATTAGAAAGCCTTCCCATTAAAAAAAAGAAAAATCTAAAGGACATCATTTTAAACCTCCAACTGTTTGGCGTAACTAATGAATCACTCAAACAAATTGCTTGGTTTCCTCCTTTTATGTACTGGCTGTCATTCAATGAATACATCTTTAATTATTTCAAATCATTTGGAAATGGTTATGCCATTATAATTAGGGCTGTCAGTCGATTAAAATATTGAATCGCGATTAATCGCATGATTGTCCATAGTTAATCGCGATTAATCGCAAATTAATCGCCCATTTTTTATCTGTTCTAAATGTACCTTAGAGGAATATTTTTCAAGTTTTTAATACTCTTATCAACATATGAGTGGACAAATATGCTTTATGCTAATGTTTATTATCATTTGAACAATGACAAATATTCTCATGAATATTAAACACAACAACCTCTGAACATTACAAATATTCGCCTCAATTCAACCTGGAACCTCTCTCATTCAATAATACAATACAAATGGTGTGTGTGTGTGTGTGTGTGTGTGTGTGTGATGGATCGTTGGAGCTATGTGCAACTCAAGGCATATGCTCGAACGGGAGCTGCCTGGACGCTGCAATCATGTTGCGCGCACTATCCGTGCTGACTTTTCGTACAATGTCCCACTGTCTGGCTGCCTGCATAAAGTCAAGTGCTCGGCGCAGTTGTGGCGAAATGTTGCTCCTCTGTTTTCATTTAAACAGCTCCTTATATCCGTTAGCGCAGCTAGCTAGCACCAGATGCTAACAACAACAATGCACGTAAGGTCTCTCTCTCGCTCGCTCGCGCCACACATACACACACCCTCCCGGTCCTCCCAACAGCCAGTCGGTGCCTGCCGGTGAGCGTGGAAGTGTGGTCTGCCACAAGCGGGCGGCAGGAGCGGGGCTGTCGGCATCAGCTTGGAGATGGTATTTTAAACTCGATGCGCTCTGAAACTACGGGGCGGCCGAGGACAAAAAATACACATGCGTTAATCGCGTTAAAATAATTAGTGGCATTCATTATTTTTTGCGTTAACGCGTTATTAACGCATTAACTTGACAGCCCTAATTATAATACATTTTTGTGGGAACAGAACTGCATTTTTTGTATTAGGGAAAATGCTCTGGTGAATCTTGTATTTTTCTGACAAATGGAAATGGAGTGGGTAATTGCTATGATTGGAAGATGATGTACGGGCCTGTAAATCAATGGGAGCATTTTTAATAGGGCTCTTCATCCTGATTCAATTCCACCATTGACATCCCAGTATATTCATATACGTTCGCTAAATTGAAGGCAGAACTGTTTTTATTTCCAGAAACCACGAAAGCATGAAAGAAGACCTTGACTTGGAAGAAGGTTGATAAAGGAGGGTTGTTCAACGAGAGCATCAATGACAGGCACCGTCAAGCTGGCAGATGTAATCTAGCAAATATGAGCTGAAGTGAGAAAGTTTAAAGGAAGACAACTTTGGTTGAATGCCATTGGGATTGAATTAGGGTTAGGGTTATGATGATTGGAAGTATCTGTCTGTGGCAGCAAAAGGTTATCTCAGCAAGTTTAGTTTGCCCTGAGCTAAATATTAGGAATCAAAAAATAGAAACCACTTATTTAAAACATACCCAAAAAAAGGGTGAAACACAAAGACAACAACACTGGTGAAACATAAAGCAAGTGCAGGGCAGAATCATGCTACAAATGTGGTTTGGTGAGTTTATTTTGAAGTAGACTTACCCAGGGGTGAGCCCATGCAGGTGCCTCCATTTAGGCAGTAGTCTGTACAGTGGTTGACCTCACAGCGTTCCCCGGAAAAGTCGGGCCAGCAGTAGCACCTCCAGTCTCCTTTCTCGTTGGCTAAGCAGCGGCCTCCATTCTCGCAGGGGGGGCGGCACAGTTCACCTGCACAACAGCAAAGCCCATATCGCTTACAGTGTGTAGCAGTCAATCACGTCACACAGT